GCGAATAATGGACTCTCCAGCGGGCAGAGGGAGACAGCTTTCTGGCAAGCTGGGGGAGTTCCCTGTGGCTGACAGGGAGAACTTCTAAAAATGTGGCGTTTCTCCCATTTATCCATCTTAAACTTCTAACCCGGTGCTATTAGTGATTTTCGTTTACCTTTATCTTGAACAGCTGCCCAGTGTGGGGGATGCCTTGCTTTCCCGTTCTTGAAATTAGGTCTGGTTCCACCTGGGCCTTACCCATTTTTACCCACAGGTGAGCTGGCTGTGCAGTTCTCCTAAAATATTTTGTTAAGATCACTTATTTGCAGGAGAGGGAGAGTGAGTGAGTGAGCAAGCAAGCAAGAGAGAGAAAGCAAAAGCCAGGGGGAGGGCAGAGGGAGAGGGAGAAGCACACATCCCATTGAGCAGGGAGCCAGCCTGGAGCTCAATCCCAGGACCCTGAGATCATGACCTGAGGGAAAGGCAGACACTTAACTGAGCCACCCAGGCGCTCTGAATTCTTCTAAAATCTGGAAACTCAAATATTCTCTGACTTCAAACTCTCCCCATTCTAGTTCCTGCCTTCTCATCTGGACTTCTGGACGCTGGATTCCCCGTTTTCCCTGTCCTTCTGCTTTCTCCCAGGCCATGGTTAATCATCTGAACTGCTTTCTTGCTATCCTCTCTGGTTGCCTTTTCTCCTGGCCCTTCCTTTTATGTGCCTGGCAAAACTGTTTCACCTTCACTGTCCTATAGCCTAGTGTTGCTGCAGGAACTGAAAGATAGAAACTGGAACCACCATAGCTGTGTAGGCTCAGAGCTCAGGGAGGCCGTCACTATCAGCCACCTGTACTGTCTCGTGGTGTCCTGTTCCTAATTACAAGCCACATCCTTATTCCATCCTCCCAGTTTCTTCCTGTCTCAGAGGAATGGATTCTCTCCTTGCCATCAAACCGAACTTCTCCATCAGACAGCTGACTCAGTTCCTTGACCCAGTTTCTTTAGAAAGCTGCTCCATCAACCACCACTTCTCCTGTATTTTCAACCTTTGGCTCCCTAGTGATGAATAGAAGTGTGTCATTAGCTCTGTCCCCTCACCCTGCATTCCCTTCCAGCTATCATTCAATTGTTCTGTCACCTTCAGAGTCAAACATTTGTTTAGGGACTATTTCAAACCTGTTATATGATTCCCTGAGGTTATCAAATCAATCTAATGGGTCACTACTGGCATTTAAAAAAAAGCTCTAACACAGAGTGCAGATTGTTTCAGGAAACTTTTAGTTGTAAATAATATAATGTATATACTGGGTCACATTGCAAAATGTATCATGGGAATTGTGGTCAGACACTTGAGAGACCTTGTTCTAAATTGGTGGTCTGCAAAATTTTATTTGCATGAATTTATTATCGTAAGTTTAATTACCTGCAGAGGGTTTCAGGTGGATTGCAAACATTAGCATTGTTAAATAAAACTAAAAAGAAATTTCCACTGCAGTGATTTGACATCTTCCATAATCCATTCAAAAAATACACAATCAAAGGGCACCTGGCTGGCTCAGTAGGTTACGAGTCTGCCTTTGGCTCAGGTCATGATCTCAGGGTCCTGGAATTGGGCTCCACTTTGGGCTCCCTGCTCATCAGGGAGTCTGCTTCTCCCTCTGCCCCTCACCCTGGCTCATGCTATCTCTCTCGTGCTGTCTCTCAAGGTGAATACATAAAATCTTAAAAAAAAAAATTTTTTTTTAAAAGAATGAGGATGAAAATAAAAATAAACTTCAAAAAAATACGTGAACAAGTTTTGGGGCGCCTGGGTGGCTCAGTGGATTAAAGCCTCTGCCTTTGGCTCAGGTCATGATCCCAGAGTCCTGAGATTGAGCCCCACATCGGACTCTCTGCTCAGCAGGGAGTCTGCTTCCCCCATCCCCCGCCTCTGCCTCTCTTCCTACTTGTGATCTCTGTCAAACAAATAAATAAAATCTTTAAAAAAAAAAAAATGAGCAAGTTTTAATTGTTATAAATTTTACATCATCTCATTTTCTCTTTATTTTTTTAAGGCTTATTTATTTGAGAGAGCCCAAGTGGTGGAGATATATATATGTATAATAAGATAAATAAATAAAATTTTTAAAAGATTTATTTTATTTTTTAGAAGATTTTATTTATTTATTTGACAGACAGATCACAAGTAGGCAGAGAGAGAGGAGGAAGCAGGCTCCCCGCTGAGCAGAGAGCCCGATGTGGGGCTCGATCCTAGGACCCTGGGATCATGACCTGAGCCAAAGGCAGAGGCTTTAACCCACTGAGCCACCCAAGCGCCCCTAAAAAGATTTTTTTTAAAAAGATTTTATTTATTTATTTGACAGAGAGAGAGCACGCACAAGCAGGAGGAGTGGCAGGCAGAGGGAGAAGGAGAGGCAGGCTCCCTGCAGAGCAGGGGGAGCCCGAAGTGGGACTCAATCCCAGGATGTGGGACTCATGACCTGGGCTGAAGGCAGTTGCTTAACCAACTGAGCCACCCAGTGCCCTCTTTTTTTTAAAGATTTTATTTACTTATTTGACAGAGAGAGTGACACAGCACAAGGAGGGGGAGCACCAGAGACAGAAGCAGCTCCCCACTGAGCAGGGAGGCTGACGTGGGGCTTGATCCCAGGACCCCGGTATCATGACCTGAGCCGAAGGCAGATGCCAAATGGACTGAGCCACCCAAGAATTTATTTAATTCACATCCATGGATGAATATTACCATTGCTAGAATGAGACAGGTTTAGCATCAATATTATTCCTATTTTTCTTTTTTTATACATGTAAGAGCTGACAATCTTTGTTTACATAAATAAGCAGATTTCCATCTAGGATTTATTGAATCTACTGAATTCAATTCTTTGAACTCCTTCAAAGTTCTATGCCAGAGCATACTGTGATCTATCATCAATTCTTTTAATTTAAATTTTCAGTTACTTTTAGATTTAGAGAAGAATCACAAAGATAGTTCAAAGAGTTCCCCCATACAGCCTTGTTCCAGCTACCCCTAATGCTGACATCTTAAAGCATAGTATATTGATCAGAAATAAGAAATTAACATTGCTGAATACTATTAACTACAGACATTGTTGATTTCACCAGTTTCCCACTAATATACCTTTTCTGTTCCAGGATCTAATCCAGGACATCACACTGCTTTTAGTGGTCATCTCCTTGTCTCCCCCAGAGTTTCTCAGTCTTTTCTTGTCTTTCATGATGTTGACAGTTTTGGAAGTGTACTGATGAGTTAGAATGTCTCAATTTGGATTTGACTATTTCCTCTTTATTAGACTAGGATTATAGATTTTGGGGAAAGAATTCCAGAGATGAAGTCCTTCTCACTGCATCATATCAGGGGGCAAATGATTTGATTTACTAATGGGATGTTAACCTTGACCACTTAGCTAAGGTGGTGTCTGCCAGTTTCTCCATTGTAAAAATTACTATCTTCCTTTAAAATATTCTATTGTTGGGGCGCCTGGGTGGCTCAGTGGGTTAAAGCCTCTGCCTTTGTCTCAGGTCATGATCCCAGGGTCCTGGGATAGAGCCCCGTATCTTGCTCTCTGCTCCGTGGGAAGCCTGCTTCCTCCTCTCTCTCTGCCTGCCTCTCTGCCTACTTGTGATCTTTGTCTGTCAAATAAATAAATAAAATCTTAAAAAAATAATAAAATAAAATATTCTATTGTTTAGAAGCAAGTTAGACCAGCCCACACACTCAAGAGTTGGGATTCAAGCTCTACCTCCTGGAGGAAGCAGTACCACAGATTTTTAGCTGTATGTTAAAACCACCCCTATAACTATTAAATATTTTGGGGGGAAATACTTCGAGTCTGTGAAAATATTCTGTTTCTTCTTAAAGTTTCACCCACTACTTATAGCATTTATCACCAACAGTTTTTAAAATAATCTTATCAGCTGGTAACGCAATTAGGTCCTCCTTCAGTTTTGACGACAGCAAATATTTGGGAACCAATGGCGAAATCCAAGTATCTACATATTTCCAAGTGTTCTTGTGTCTGGAGTCCCATAGGTTTGTACACCTTCGGGCAGTACATCATAGATATGATTCAGGATTGGAGACAGGTATGCCTTCTTCTGTCAAGTGGGAGGAAAGAGTGTCCTTAGGCAACTTTGTAAAAATCAGGATGTACACACTGATTTCCTGAAAACGGTCCTAGCCTGAATACTTCATGATGTTAGTATTCTCGAGTTGGAAGACCACGGCGCTGAATGATTCTACTCCAGTGATTTCACCCACCAATACTGCCGTGGATTCCTCACGTTCTTACCTTTTGGTCGATACCCGTTCCTTTCTCCAAGGCCAGTCTTTCAACCAGTAAGTCCTTAAGCACCTGACTGCCTAATTTGGGCTTCATTTTCCTTCTCTTACAATATTAAGCGGCTGGCAGCTTCCAGAACACACACTGCTGCTTACCTCTACCGCCTGGATATTCCAACCACGTCCCCTTTCCGGTCCTCACCTGTACAGCGGGGGCTCTGCATTCACAGTCTAGGCTAGATGGCCAGTTGAAAACGTGCTCGAAGTGGCCGATCTCGAGGGCAGTTCAGCGAACTGCTTCTGGAGCGGGCCACTGAGTGCTAGCTAGCGGTTGCAGAAGACGTTTCCCACATTTCATGGTGAGGAATGTTTGCATACCACAACCTTCAGTTGTGGTATGCAAACTACCCAGCGCTCTCAAAGCGCCTAGTCTGCGCGGTGATTTCCAGTGCTGACTACGAAAACGCAGTGTCCAGTCCTGAAATGAAGTGAGTCCTAAAATAAATCCACTAGTACTCTCGCCTCCTACGCCTTCCCGCGGACAAGCCCAGAGCTGCCCCAAGCGATCCCAACCCCGAGACCCCGCCCGCCTCCGCCCGCCCGCCCCACCTTAAAGTGGGCCCGGAGTGCCAGTTCTTCAGACAAGCGGTGGACCCATCAAGGGCCTTTACTGTTTGAAGATTAGAAAGCCTGGCAGCAACTCACGCGAGACAGAGATAGTATTCTCGCGAGAACTCTGGGAGGCGGCAGTGATGGCGGCGGCGGGAACTGGACCCGGACCCGGAGTGGATGCAGGACCCGGCCCAGCAGCGGCCGCAAATGCGACAGCGGTGGAAGAAGGGGAGACAAAACCGGTGGTAGCGGTAGCAACTGCCCCGGCTGGAGAGGGGACATCTGTTGCTCCAGTAGCGGAACCCGGTTCTGGAGAGGCAGAAAGCGGGTAAGACATCCTGTGGCCCGAGGCAGACACAGGGCGGGAGGCCCTCCCCTCTTGGAATCCGGCGGCTCCCGAGAGCCCTCCTGCCCGCCCCCTCCGAACCTAGGCCCAGCTGCCAACGGCTCGCCCTGCCCCCTCCAGGACTGTAGTCCCGCCCGCCGCTTGGCTCGTCCCCTTGGCCCTCCCCTCTGAACTGTATCTGAAACTACGCCCCTTTCCGCACCTTTCGCGGTTTGTGAGAGTCAAGGTTCTTGTTCTCTCTCCTGCTCTTGCATCCTAACAGGGGGCTCGTAGCTCTGTCTTCTAGCAGGAACCCCTCAAATATCCCAGGGGAAAAACCACTTTGCATTGCCGGACTGGAAGAAGTAACGGTTCCTCTGAAAACAGTGGGAGAGCTGCATCCCTGCGAACCCTCCCCAGGACCAGTTCCATCCCATGTAGTTTTGTCTGTAAGGGCCGACCAGGCTTCCCTGTGCCCCATGGGCCTGCGTCTGTCTAGGCCGTGTTCTTCCTAACCCAGGGCAGCCAGGCTGAGAACAGGCTTAGTTGAAAAAGCTGTAGAAGTGTGAAGTTCAGCTGGACTTGGATCATTATCTTTGGGAATACGCGTTTTGAGGTTTGTTTCTCTTGAAAATTCTTACTTGAGTGCTTCCATTATCTCATAGGGATGCAAATTCAGTCGATGTAGGTGGTGGTTTGGAGACAGAATCCTCTAATGGGAAAGATACACTAGTAAGTATTTATTTTTGGATGTCTGCAAGGCAAAATAGGTTTTACATTTTTAAGTGAGTCAGAAATACAATTGGGTCAACTAACTTGATTTTCTGATTGCTCTGTGGACACAGGAAGGTGCTGGGGATACTTCAGAGGTGATGGATACCCAGGCGGGCTCGGTGGATGAAGAGAATGGCCGACAGCTGGGGGAGGTAGAGCTGCAGTGTGGAATATGTACAAAATGGTTCACAGCGGACACCTTTGGCATAGATACTTCGTGAGTATTTTTTGGTAATCTGTAAGAATCGCCCTGTAAAATAAATCTCAGCATGTTCAACACCCGAATCATAGTTTGTGAGCAAATATAAAAGCACATTATTTTCTATGTCTTCTAACCCCTGTTCAGTGAGTAGTAGGATTTGAATCAGAAATTGTTTTAGTAACCTGAGCGTGTTTTCTACCTGTTGAGGGCCCAGACCTAGTAGATGCAGTGATAGATATTGTCCTTGTTTTGAGTTTACAATCTGGTTAGGAGACAAAGCTGTGCAATTATGAAGCACTATATAAATATGGGACAGTGTCATTTAAATGTTGTATTGGGTATTATGGATTTTGGGGAAAGGGTTGGTGTCTATGGTAGACAAAGTCTGTGGTCAAAAATTTGAGATGACCAGTGCCTTTTCATGCTTGAGCCATTCTTTTTATCCTTTTGGCTTCTAACTCACTCTCTTTAAGTATCCGATGTTCACTCCTCAGCATACTTCCAATTTCCTCTTCTAATGAATCAAAATCTTTTATGATTGATTGAGAATAAAAGGCTTTTTGCTTTATTGTAGGGATTCAGTCAACAGCAAGTGCTCCATATTGACTTTGTCTATGGAAATAATTGTATTGCTGGCTCTCTGTTGTTCCTTATGATTCATGTTATGCAAGTAAATTTAGATTGTTTCAAGGCTGCATTATTAAGTCTGAAATTCTTCCTCAGTGGGTGGGTTTGCGAAGAAATACCATCCTTTAATAATTTATTTTATGTTTTCTAATTTAAAAAGTTATAGTGGATTTTGGAAATGCTAATGTTTAATTAACATGTGACTGGTGACCTAAGATAGAATGTTTAAAAAAGAAAAAATACTAAAGGATCTGGAGGAAAGAATTGATCTTGGTAGAAGGATCTGTAGGGAAAATATACAACATAAGCAAAGCTGGTCACTTAGACAAGACCTAAAATTGGGCCCCTTTGGCCAAGAAGAATTTACTTGGATAGACAAAGCCTAGGAAATTTGGGCGCCTGGGTGGCTTAGTGGGTTATGCCTCTGCCTTCAGCTCAGGTCATGATCTCAGGATCCTGGGATTGAGTCCTGTATTGGGCTCTCTGCTCAGCGGGGAACCTGTTTCCCCCTCTCTCTCTGCCTGCCTCTCTGCCTACTTGTGATCTCTCTCTGTGTGTCAAATAAATAAAAAACTTAAAAAAAAAAAAAAAGCCTTGGAAATTTACCAGAGAGAGAACTTGGGGTGCTCTAGGGAAGAATCAAAGCACAGTTTGGAGTTTTGGTAGGAACCAATTTGTACCTGAAATTGGAAGTTACACCTGAAGCCCAGTTAGGTGGGACAGATTATCTTTCACAGCTGAGATGGAGGAAGTGAGCTAGCAGGGTTGGAAAAAGGCAGCTGTAAACACCTGATTATATCTGAATTAAATAATGACTGCCTACATATCTCTAGTTTGAGGCTTTGCTCTCTGTAGGTGATTTTATCACAGGGGGCTGTTGAACAGAAAGGTTTCGAGAGCAAGGTAAAGGCAAGGGAACTCAATTTTACATTCACAATAACGTTTCTTAATTTCTTGAATGGTGGCAATAGACACACACTCGGGAAGCTTCTCTTTGAGCATAACTTAAGCAAGTTTCAGCTGAGTCCAAGATAAACCTGTGTTTGTTTTTAATAAACCTGCTTTTGATTTCTTCTCTTACAACTTGAACCAGTCTTGTATTTTTCGGTTACATTCTCCTTTTTAAGACTAATGTCTCCCTGTACTCTACTTCCAGTCATTGGATACAGTCACCACCACACCTCCTTCTCCAATGCATTGATTCCTCAGTTATATCCTCAGCATCCACCATTTTTCTTTTAAATGTTATTTATTTGACAGAGATCACAAGTAGGCAGAGAGGCAGGCAGAGGGCGGGGGTTGGGGGGGAAGCAGGCTCCCTGCTGAACAGAGAGCCCGATTCGGGGCTCAATCCCAGGACTCTGGGATCATGACCTGAGCCAAAGGCAGAGGCTTTAACCCACTGAGCCACTCAGGTGCCCCAGCATCCACCATTTTTTAACCCTCTCCCTCCACTGGCATCTTTCTCTCTGCCTCTAAACAGACGGTCTTCTCTTGTCCCCAAACTCTCCTTTAAGAAGATTTCATCTTTGTGATAGAAGCACCCTTAGTAATAAGAACTCCTTTCACTCCACAACCCCCCACCCCTGCTCAGTTAGTCACCAAGCTTTACCAGTTTTTTCTCTTATCAGCTTGTCCTTTCCGTTTTTATTAATTTCACCCTAGGTGAGGCCGAGGCCTTCTTTACCTTCTGCTGGAACAGACAAAAAAGCATCTTACATACATTTGCTTTTTCTAATCTCTTCCTTTGGACCCATCCTGTTATGAAACTTGGATTTTTAACCATGTCATTACCCCCTCAAGGAATTCCCATTACCCACAGAAAAAAATCCAAAAAAATCTACCTGACTCCTTGGCCTCCTTACCTTTTAAGCCTTACCTTTTTTTTTTTTTTTTTAAAACCATATCCCTGACAGATCCCCTCTCTAGGACAAATTTGTTTACAGCAATTTGCCCCTCTGCCCACTTGTTGGCCCTTTCTCATCTCTATACATAGTTCACCTAGAGAAAAGAAAACTGACTCATCTTCCCAAATCCAGTTCGTAACTTATATCCTCCAAAAATGTTTTCTAACTCTTAAATGTGAAGTTCCTCCCTGTATTCTTAAAACTCTTATAAGACTAATTATCATCTGTGGGATTTTTTTGGTGATGAGACAAGTAATGTTTTGTGACCTATGTGTTTTCCTGAATAATGATGTACATTTTAGAAAAGATTTTATATATTTATTGTAGGGAGAGAGCAGTGGGGAGGGGCTGAGGGAGAGGGTGGCGGGGGAGAGACTCTCAAGAAGATTGTGCACTCAGCGTGAAGCCCAATGCAGAGCTTGATCTCCTGACCCCCATGAGATCAGGACTTGAGCCAAAATTGAGAGTTGGACACCCAACCAGCTGAGCCACCCAGGCACCACCATTATTTGCATTTTTAATTAATCTTGTCATAATTTCTGTTTACCTTTTCCAATGGTGTTATTGGCACTTTAAGTAAATATTTAAGTGTTTAAACATAGTTTGTGTATAGACATTTATAAAGCTGTTTATATTTAAATATAATTTACATACAAATACTTAAATATAAATATATTTAAAGAGACTGCTTTGCCTTCTTCCACAACTGGCCTGACACACTCTTTTTAGGTACTCAAATTCTATAATAAACTAGCTTGGACAAGGTCCCAGAGAGAAACTTCCTGGTGCTGAATTATCTGCTATGGTAGATAATGTCTTATTAAATTTCTGTAACAGAAAAATCCAGGTAGGGACACCTGGAGTGGCTCAGTTGGTTAAGCATCTGCCTTCAGCTCAGGTCATGATCCCAGGGTCCTGGGTCCAAGCCCCATGTTGGGCTCCCTGCTCAGCGGGAAGCCTGCTTCTCCCTGGGCCTGCAGCTCCCCCTGCTTGTGCTTGTGCGTGTGCACACTCTCGATCACTCTGACAAATAAAACCTTTCTATAGAAAAAGAAAAAAATACAAGCCCTCTTTTGGCTTTGATGACCTTTTTAAGTTTTACTAGTACATTAATATATTAATGTTATTACCTTACTTTCACGGTGGGGAAAGGAGGATCCTTGTTGATTTTGTTGGTTTACTCCTCAAAAGGAAGTGTGTGTTGAGAAGTTCACTAATCTGTTTAATCTGGTTGTTCTGCAGATCCTGTCTACCTTTCATGACCAACTATAGTTTTCACTGCAATGTGTGCCATCATAGTGGGAATACCTATTTCCTCCGGAAACAAGCAAGTAAGAACAAACTATGGAGTGCGGCAAAATTGTCCTCTGGTTAGCTGCAAAAGAAAAGGGATTTGGATGTAGCAGAATCAGGAAACCTCTGCCTGGTAGCTAGTAGAAGTTCGGGTTTAGCTCCAAATATTGGCTATTGTCCATTTCAGATCAATGATGACTCTACTTTTTGCTGCTGTAATTGTTAATTTGTGGACCACCTAGTTGAATATTCTTTTGGTAATAGGGATATAATACTATAGATAACTTTTTGTTGTTGTTTTTGCTAGACTTGAAGGAAATGTGCCTTAGTGCTTTGGCCAACCTAACATGGCAGTCCCGAACACAGGATGAGCATCCGAAAACCATGTTCTCCAAAGATAAGGTAGAGAAGAAATTAATGTAATTGCAATTATGCCCAAGAATCTGGTGGAACTTCTAAATATACTTCTCAACAATAAGTACTTTCCCCACAATTTTTATGAATATATCACGGTAGATTCATTGGTTATGTGTTACTTATTTTATGTGATTTACTAACTTCTTAGTATGTGCACAGTACATCACTTGGCTTGGTGTGTCACTTGGCTTAGCTATTAGTTGGGTGAATCCTTAAATAGTTTTGGTTGGCTTTATAAGTAACAATTAATAATCAGAGCTTGAGGTGGACCTTCTCAGCAGCTCAGTTTATCTGTTTTTTAGATGGCTATTACAGATTTTGTCAGAGGGAAGGGGGTGAGTTTATTTAAATGAATTATCCTTTATTATTAAACTGCCAAAACACATGACCAAAGTCAGGAATCAAAATTAGATGATTAGCCCATCCATGAGTCTTTCCTACTGTGAGTCATGGTAAGAAAATAAGAAAATTAAGTAAATTTTAGAACAGTGGAGTTTACATTGTGCCTAGTGTACATTTATACCTACCTTTCATTTAAATCTGAAACAAAAATTTCACCAAACAGTGCTTACTCTCCGATTTTTCCCCTCTGCACTCTGTTATTTTCTATTCTAGTCCGTGCTAGTTTTGACCTACAGAATTGATTTTATAACCTACTAATTGATTGCAATCTACTGTTTGAAAGACACTGGTATGGGGTGTCTGGTGATACTAATATGGCTGAGATCAGACCTGAAAGGGATTTTCTCCTGAATAGAAGTGAGAACTTAGTCCTGTAGGCTGGAGTAGTCAGTAGACGGCCCCTTCACTTTCTTTTTATTCCTGCATTAGAGATGTGCTGTGATCAGGTTTGGTTTTTTTCTTATTTTTTCCCCCAAATTATTATTTAGGATTTTCAAACATTTAGAAAACTTCAGATAGTACAGAACATCTGTTTATTCTTTACCTAGATTTACGGGTTGTTAATACTTTATGGCATTTGCTTTATTGCCCAGTGTCTATGTTTTCTCTCTAAGCTATATGAGACTACATTGAACTCTATACCCAGTATTCTCTCATAACCACAATACAGTGATCATACTCAGAAAATTTTATGGTGATGTAATACTACCAATATATGCAGTTTTTATTTTTATATAGGTATATACTTTTATTTTTTCACTGTTATTCTTAAATCCCTCATAGTTTTTTCCTCCATCCAGGATCCAGGCATGGATCACACATTACATTTAGTTGTAATGTGTCTCTTTCTCGCTCTCTTTTTTCTTTTTTAAAGTAGGGCTGCACGCCCAACATGGGGCTGGAACTCAACAACCCTGAGATTGCATGCTCTCCCCACTGAGCCAGTCAGGTGTCCCTTAGTGTCTTTTTTGTCTTTAATCTAAAATAGTTCCCGAATTAATTTTGCTTTGTTTTTTTGGTCTGCTATGGTGTACAGTTATTTATTTATTTGCTTATTTACAAAGTTTATGTATTTATTTAAGTAGTTGCTACACCCAATGTAGGGCTCCAGTTTATGACCCTGAGATTAAGAGTTGCTCCTCCCACTGAGCCAGCCAGACGCCAAGGTCTGCTGTGACATGAAAATTTTGAGGAGCCTAGAAGGTTGTTTGGCATGATGCTTCTCAATTTGCATTTATCTGATTGTTTCCTCGTGGTTGAACTTTTTGTTTGTTTGTTTGTTTGTTTTAGAGACGGAGGGGAGGAGAGGGGCAGCGGGAGAAGGAGAGAAAGAATCTCAGGCAGACTCCACATCCAGTGCAGATCCCAGTGCCGGGCTCGATCTCACAACCCTGAGATCATGACCTAAGCCAAAATCAAGAGTCAGATGCTTAATCGACTGAGCCACCCAGGTGCCCCTCTGGTTAAACATTTTTGGCAAGAATATTATGTAGATAGTGTATATTTTTCCTTATGTCACATCAGGAGGCATAAAATATTAGTTTGTTTTATTAGAAGTAGTCCTAAATTTGATTACTTAGGTAGAGAGGAGGTATCACCAGATTTCTCCATTGTAAAGGGACATTTTCTGTTTGTAATTACTAAGCATTCTGTGTGTTGATGCAGTGAGATTGTGTTACTGTCTTGTTCAAACCCTTTCAAGCTGTGGTTTTAGCAACCACCGATTATCCTAGCCTGAATCAGGTTAATAGAGTGATCATTATGAAAAAGAATACATTTATTCATTTATTTCTTGCAGTTCTTTCTGTCCACCTTTTTTTTTTTTTAAGTATCACTGTGGATTTGTGGATTTTTATACTCTGTTATTAGATTTCTCATAAATGGTGCTCAAATTTGACCAGTGCAGCCCCATTTAGGCTGACTCCTGATACTTTGTGATATGTTCCTATCAGTTTTTGAACTCTTCCTTACTTTCTAGATTAGCAGAATATTCCAGACTTCCTTTCGACTTTCCCTGATTCAACCTGGGTTCCTTTTATTTTATTGTTTGTTTATTTTAAAGATACTATTTTTAAGTAATCTCTACACCCAACATATGGGGCTTGAATTTACAAACCCAAGCTAAAGAGCCACACACACTACCAGGCGAGCCAGCCAGGCACCCCAGTCCTGGTTTCTTTTGGTAAAGATTTGGTATTCATGGAACTGACTAGTGGAGGGTATTAGTGGTAGACTCTGACTCTGGTGGACTCCGGGAGAATGATGAGCATAGGGGAAGGTTCATGTCAGAAGAGCAAGCTCCGATATTTTTTCAGTCACACCAGCAAGAACTGGTGAGGACAACAATCAAAGCAGCAGGGATAGAAAGGAGGCCGGATTGGTGAGAAATTTCTGAAATCTGAACAGGCATTTGGTGTTGGTTTAGATGTGAAAGGCGTACACAAGAGAAGAATCCAAGATGGCTCCATGGTTTCTGGCTTGTGATTCTAGGTGATAGGTGATTCTGAGCATTAAGAGCAAGAACAGAAATCAACATGGGGTGCCTGGGTGGCTCAGTGGGTTAAGCCTCTGCCTTCAGCTCAGGTCATGATCTCAGGGTCCTAGGACTGAGTACGGCATAGGGCTCTCTGCTTGGCAGGGAGCCAGCTTCCCCTTCTCTCTCTCTCTGCCTGCCTCTCTGCCTACTTGTGATTTTTGTCAAATAAATAAATAAAATCTTTTAGAAAAAAAAAAAGGAATAGAAATCAGAGCAGATTTGCGAGGTAGGATACAAAGTTTAGAGTTTTTGTTTTGTTTTGTTTTAGAGGGTGGGAGTGAAGTGTAGAGGAAGAGACAGAGAATCTTAAGCAGCCTCCACACCCTGGAGCTGGATGCAAGGCTCCATCTCATGACCCTGAGATCATGACCTGAGCTGAAACCAAGAGTCGTCAGATAGATGCTTAACCATCTGAGCCACCCAGGCGCCTCCTGCCCCCGCCAAAGTTTAGTTTTCTTTACAAGAAGTTTGAAGTACCTGTGGGGTGTCCACATAGGGATGTCGGAAACAGGTAGGAATAGGAACTCGGGGGAGAGAATGATTTGGGAATCATTATCCAGATGGCACCCAAGAGAATGGAGTAGATCTTTCCTTCCAACTGGATTGTAAGCCCTATGTAGTTAAGGATTGTATATACTTACTGGAAATTCCTCACAATCTATGTGTTTGCATGCAATTATGTATTTATTTAATCATGAGAAGACTAAACATTGGATTTTTCTCTCAATTCTGACAAGGTCTTTGAAAAAGCTGCAGTTTTCTTTCCTTTTTTGTGAGTATTACTTTGAAAGCAACTATAGAAATCTTAATATATTCTGTTTTAAAAATTAGGATATCATACCATTTATTGATAAATACTGGGAGTGCATGACGACCAGACAGAGACCTGGGAAAATGACTTGGCCAAATAACATTGTTAAGACAATGGTGAGTAGACTAAAATGATTAGACTCGACATTTTGAAAGTCAGTGTTCTTTGAAAGAACTAAATTTGTTTTAGTCTCACTGAAATGTGATGACTAAGAAAATGAGAACAACTTAGTTTTAAATCTTGGAGACTAAGGTATCACTAATTGTAAATTTTAACAGGTTTCACACGTCACAAATTGTGTCTAAAGTGAATATCACCCTGGTTGTTTTATACATGACACTGAAACCTTTGTCCGCTGTACTTTTGCAAGTATAATTTTATATTGACATTGCAGACTATTTTTTCCTTTGCTTTAAAAACAAAAACAAATAACACTGTTCTAAACATTATTGTCCTTAGAATTAAAGAGAGCACCTGGGGAGAAGCCAACAGCAAGCTGTTAACAGTGCTTATCTCTGTGAGGTGGAGGGATAGGTGAGGATTCCGAAGGACTTTGGCTCTCATTTTTTCAAGTTTCTCTGTTTGAATTTTTGGATGGTCACGTATTAATTTTCTAATCAGAGGGAAAAGCAATACTATCATTTTGGGAGATTACACTTAGGAATTGGAGTTGCTGGTTGATCATCCATTCAGTACTACTTTGAAGAATAAAATTTTCCAGTAACACTAAAATACTGCTTCCTTTCAGAGTAAAGAAAGAGATGTATTCTTAGTAAAGGAACATCCTGATCCTGGGAGTAAGGACCCAGAAGAAGATTACCCCAAATTTGGACTTTTGGATCAGGTACTTTGTACTTCCCTTGTGATTTGGAGACCGAGAATTAGGTTCTGTTAACATTTGTCTGTTTGCCACTGCCATTAAAGGCCTCTAACATGGTGGGCTCCAAGTGAAGGGTCATTGCTGTGTGCAGAAAGAGCCCTCACCTTAAACCAGGGGAGTAGCGTTTTAGTTCTGGCTCTTCCCCTCAGTGTTACAACTTTATGCATATCCTTTTTATCTTTTTTAACGTTAATTTCCTCCCTTATAAATGGGCTGTGCCAAGTTGTTTCTAATTTTCTTTCCATCTCAAAGTTTACTCTTAAAAACATTTGTTATTATAAAGAAAAAATTTGTTGTGAATTAGAATTTGTGTTGTGTATCTAGCATAACATGAGGAAAAAGAAAATTTCCACTCTTTGTTCACTGGCAGGTAGGTCAGGAGGCCAAATCTTTCAGCTGTCCCTTAAAATGTTTGACCTGCCACCATTGAAAATTCAAGGTTTCACATAGAAATGTTACTGTACAAGGGTCCACTGCCCAGTGATGCACAGAAAGGCAAACACTGACGCCAGTTTTATAAAGAAAAAGTGTTTTATTGCAGGGTTCCAAGCAAGGAGATGGGAGAAAATTTCTCTGATCTGCCTTCTCGAAGGATGGGGGTTGGGTATATTTAACCATAAGGAGACAGGATGTCATGGGGTGGTATGTAGGTTGAATAGAATATGCTGATTGGATATAGGGACAAAAGGAGATGTCCTCCTTTCTGAGCATGAGCATTCAGGAATCAAGCCTCTTTATGGGACACGTGCTCAAAAAATGGCAGCATAAGGTTGGGGGGTTGGGGGGGTGTCCTTATAGAGGTTACTGTTGTTTACTCTTGGTCCCTTCTGCAAAGTTGCAGCAATTCCTTATTTGTTCCAGTCTTAGCTAGTCTTGACCTTGGTCAGTCACCTTCTGCAAAACGGGTTCATCAATCAATCAGGTTAGCCAGAGTTTTCTTAAGGTAAATGAGTCAAACATTTGCTAACTTACTGTGCTGGTTTTAGAAATTCAGATATCTGTCTTTTCTTCTAAAATGAGAAGATCTGATTACAGTGGGCCTGAATTCCCACAGCAGCTGAGAAAATGGGGCTTAGGCACTCCTGTGTGCCTTTGCCCCCTCCACCATACCACCCCCAATTCGTTCTTAACCACTTTGATCCTTACATTTGGCCCACCACATGTACGTTACTTGTTGATCTCTGAAGCATCCAAGTTTGGGACCATGTAAATTTCAGATGCCTTACGGTTGTCAGTTTTGATTCACATTCTTCAAGAATTTCTTGGTGTTTTTGAGCATTGCCAGTGTACGTTGATTATCTAGCCTTTCTTTATAATTGAATATATTTTTCCCTCTAGGATCTTAGTAACATTGGTCCTGCTTATGACAACCAAAAACAAAGCAGTGCTGTGTCTACAAGTGGGAATCTAAATGGTAAGTGTTTAAATGTCTTCTTGATGAAATAGTTGTAAGCTGTTGAATCCAAATATGCCTAGAATTGGGCATCCTTTGGGTTGGCTCTCAATCAGATATTTACAGAAGCTTTAAAGTCCAGTACCCAGTTTTTGGAAGCTAGCCAAAGATTCAACAAATGGTAGTGAAGAACATTTTGTCCCTTTACACCACAGTTTGGTCTTGAGTGAAATAGATTTAGCATAAAACAAGGTACAGGTTTAAGGTCAGATTTACTGTGTTCACCTTAGACTCCATGTCTGTATCCTCATCACTAACACCTACTATAGATTGAGTCGCTCTCTCCCCCTGCTCTTAATTCAGCTGCAATTTAACAGACTTCCTATGCTGGTCTTCTAATTTTTCTTGCCCTGAAACATTAGTCGCATGACAGCAATCTGTACTTATGACCTGCTATATGTGTTTTTCTATCAGTAACCCACCTAATGACTCTAATGGTCTTCAGTACTAATGGTAATCCAATGAAAGTTGGGGTAGCTGGAGGTAGCTAGCTATTCATCTAACATGTGGTGTCATGAACTTGTCCTTTGGAGTGGTAGTATCTTAAATATGTAATCGTGTCTCCTGTTACTAATATAAGATGGGTTGGAAATAGCTAAGTGTATTGTTATATTTTACACCATTTTTTCCCATTTTAATTGTTAAACTTTGACAAATACATGGTGCCACTTCTGTTCTTACAGGTGGAGCCTCTTTTGGAGGTGAATTCCTCCTCTGTCTTCTTTCAGCCTCTCAGACTTAAGTATTATGTGGTTTGGAAAATGCTTTTTGCTGAGTTGTGGTAGAAGCTAAAACTAAATTAAAATTTTAAAGCATTGTGAAAATGGTGGCAATAGCACTTGATATGAAACTGTAGTTCCAGTTGAATGTTAGCAATTAAAAGCTTATATGTTGTCATATTCTGCCTAACATGGCCAGCAGTCCCCTTAGTATTGCTTGTTTTATTCCAGGTAGATCTAAAACTTCTCTCTTAAATTAATTAAAATACAAATAACAATTAAAAATTAATAATTTCTCTAGGTAACTCAAACATGAGATAATGGATGTTGCAACAGTTTTAACATTAAACCTTCTTATGGGAAATGAGACTAATACCTGGTATGTTCATAAAAGGTAGTTCTGCATAAATCTGGTCCTGTATGTGCAGAATATGACCTGCTCTCAATGTCTTGATCCTTTTCATTGCAGCAGAACTGCTGATAATTTCCAAGCTTGCCCCAAATTAAGATTCGGTACTCTATGTAGTTGTTTCCATAAAGGTGTTTTCCTGCAGTTCAGGGACTATTCTGGCGGACAGAAAAACAAATTGAGAGGAAAGATGGAACTGGACAGAAATTTCCAAGTACCTATTTCAGAGATCACTGGGTAGCGTTCCTTTGGCTTAGTATGTAGCTAAATTATTTTTTGTGTAACATAAGTAAATTGTCGATTGATATTTGCTCTTAATTCCACAAGCTAAGGCAGTCTAAGTTAATTTTATGCATTGGCACAATCTTAAGAATTGTAAAAGTTGCCTACTAAATTTAAAGCCTTTCTACTTGTGTCATGCACACCCCAGAGTGGATACCAAGTAGCACTGGAGAGAAACACCTTTTTAGTATTTCCATTTCTGTTTTCTATGTTTTCTGTACCTTTGTCTTGTTGGATCTTCCAGTTAAGTGCTTTAGCAGAAATTGTGCCTTTATTATGTTTACGGACTGTATCATGCATAGTTCAAGCTAGTGAACATCTGCTTAGAGTGAGGATAGTCTTCGTGGATGTTCATATTGATTTGGATGGAAAAAACCTTTATCCTTGCGGTTGTTTTTTTAGATGTGGGTATTCGGAATCTGAATGAGTGAAAATGCATTTGTGTCACATCCTCAGAAAGTGTAGTTCAATAAGTCGTTGCAGTTCAATAAGAAAGGAAGGTTGAAAACGTTCTACAGTCGTTATTAGTGCTAGGTTCCTTTGAGCTTACTGCCAGAGCTCATTGTTCTGAGCAGTGAGATGCTCAGCAGACTCCTTTGGAAGCAGGGTGAAATCCATTATGCTCTCAGGAAGGAGGTCCTCCTGGGTGTGGTGTTACACAAATGCACGTCGGGAGTGTTAGTCGCCGTGGAATTTCCATATCCACGTCAAGCTTCTGTCACAACTCATTGAAAGTGATCTGCCTTGTCTTTGAAGGGGGAATTGCAGCAGGAAGCAGTGGAAAAGGAAGAGGAGCCAAGCGCAAGCAGCAGGACGGCGGGACCACAGGGACCACCAAGAAGGCCCGGAGGTGGGCAGAACACCCACTCCCACTCATCACTGCTAGACCGTTCTTTGGGGCTGGCACAGTCCATCAGTGGGCAAAGAGCAGTCCTCTTCACTAGCTCAGGTGTCTGAGATTCAAAAGCCTGTCCATTTTTCTCAAATCTTGAACACTTTGAGGGGTAAAATAATTCCGCGTGAGGAGCCCTGTTTTTCAGATTTGTGAAAACAGCCCCCGGGTCGGCAACCCAGTGGGAGTAAAGTTCTGTCAAGACATCTTGAGAAGGGTTAGGTGGAGGATAGGGAGAGTGGACCCAGTATTGAACTTAAGCACTTTTAAGTCGTCTTTGTGCCTCTCCCCTCAGGCCTCTTCTCTGTGCTTTGTTCAGTAAATCCTGGTTTTTTCTTATTTAGATTGGCAAGATAGTGCTCCCATCTCTGAGTTTTGTTTCATTAGTTTATAGTAATTAATATACTAAGGGAAATTGCCCTTGTTCCCCTTTTCCTCCCCTCTGACATACTGGCTCTGTTTCAAAGATAGTCCTATAGACTAGAGAGTAATTTGAAACCACTTTGCTAAATTTAAAAACAAATCTGTTTCATTTCCCTATTTTGCCTCCAGAGGGCAGGATCATCTACTTGAGCAATGAAAACCATTTGTGAAGTTGCATGTACTCCTGCTGAAATCTAGTAAATCAGGTGTCTTTCTTACAGATTTGAAGGCATTTGAGCTAGAGGGGGTTTTAGTTTCTTGATTTTATTTTTTCCTTTCTGCAGTGACCCTTTGTTTTCTGCTCAGCGCCTTCCCCCTCATGGCTACCCCTTGGAACACCCGTTTAACAAAGATGGCTATCGGTATATTCTAGCTGAGCCCGATCCCCATGCCCCTGACCCTGAGAAGCTTGAACTTGACTGCTGGGCAGGAAAGCCAATTCCTGGAGACCTCTACAGAGCCTGCTTGTATGAACGAGTTTTGTTAGCCCTACATGATCGAGGTATGTAAGGTGTTAATGTTCATGTTGGACCCAGGTGTTACTTTGAATACTGTCTTCAGCTTTGTCCAGTCCAGAATTAGATACACTTGTCAACATCGTTACCACACCCCCACCATCTGGTTTTAACTAGACTCAGTAGGAACACGTGACAAAGAATCTCCTTGTCTCTTCTGATAAGCTCTAAACATTTGTATAGAGATATGTGTGTGTGTGTTTAAAACTTTTTATTTTGAACTTATTTTTTGTTTTTTAAGTAAGCTCTACACCCATCGTGAGGCTCAGATTACAACCCCAAGATCAGAAGTTGCATGCTCCACCGACTAAGCCAGGCAGATGCCCCTATTTTGAACTAATTTTAAACTTAGAGTAAAAACAATAGTTTTAGCATATTCCCTCCCCAAGCTTCTAATGGTAACATCTTACACGACTGATTGTATAGTTACCAGACCAGGAAGTTAACATTGGATGATGCTATTAATGAAACAAAAGACTTGATGTACATTTCTCCAGTTCCCCCAGTAAGGCCTCTTCTCTAAGGTCGGTCGTACGTTGCATTTCATTATTTCTCCTCAGTTTCTTGCAGCCTTTAACAGTTCCTCAGTCCTTGCGTGTCTTTAATGACCAGACACTTATTTAAGTATTAATCAGGGATTCTGTTGAATATTCCTTAGTGAGTGTGTGACTTTTTCTCATGATTAGACTGATGTTATGCATATTTTGTCAGAATACCAAAGAAATGAGTCCTCATTGCATCATCTCATGGCAGTCATGATGTGGATGTCTTATGATTGATCATGTTGACCATGGTCATCTGGTTAAGGTGATTTCTGTGGCTTTCTCTGTCTTATCCTTTGTAGTTAATAAATAGCTCGAGGAAGGATGCTTTGAGCTTTGGAGATACCTTGTTTATAAAGTTTTGCTCTAATATCCTTCAGTGGATCTTTTCTTCAATGATTTTTTTTTTTTTTTAAGATTCTGTTTATTTGAGAGAGAGAGCACAAGCGATGGGGAGGGGGAGCAGAGGGAGAGGGAGAAGCAGACTCTGAGTTGAACAGGGAGCCTGACAAGGGACTCGATCCCAGGACCCCAAGATCATAACCTGAACCAAAGGCAGATGTCCAGCTGACTGAGCCCCCCAGATGCCCCTGCAACAATTATTAGTGTGTTGTGTTTGCCTGACGATTTTGTATTTCTTTCTTCCTGTCTCTACTTATTATTTAATCAATTTTTATTTATATCAGTGTGAACTCAGATATTTATTTTATTCCATTGGGATAGACTTTATCTAGTAGCTCAAATTATTCCTGCTTTGGCCATTGGGAGCTTCTTTAGGTTAGTTCCTGTGTTTTTTTGATAAGCCTCTTTTTTTTTTTTTTTTTTTTTTTGAATAATACTTCCTTTACTTTCCAACATCACAAAATGTTCCTGACTTACCTTGTCTTTTCCCTGCCCTATGCCAAATATATCAGCCACTTTCTCCAAAGAGCCCTGGTTCCTTTGATTGGAGAATGAGATTTAGAAATGAAGACCTGAGTGTTCAGTATGCTCAGTTTTAGACCCCACCCAGTGGACAGGAGGAGACCGTATGTGTAACAGCTGATACATAAATATACAGGGCTCTACTGCGTTTGCACTGACGGCTTGGATTCTAGTCAAACACTCCTGGTTTGTGCCAGCCCTCCGCCTATCCTTACTGGTCACTTCTTTCTCCAACAGTGAGAAACCTGGCTCTGACTGTCTACAGTGTTCATTTCTATTTGTTCATTTCTAGTGTGCACATAAAGTAGTTTCAGAATTGGTAACCTCTATGAGAAACATTGACTAGCTAGCTTAGAGCAGTTACGTCTGGCCCTTCGGCTTTTAGCCTTGCAGCATCCTTTTGGGTTACTGTTAGATTAATTCTCTTCTGCCCCACCTCCTTCAGGGTGATTGTGTGTCTCTTTTACAACCGTTAGGTTCATTTGTTAGTATTTTTGTGCTATTTTTAGGGTCTCCCACCTCTCGGAGAGAGAGTTTGTGTGTGTGTTTCAGGGGAGTGCATGGGTCTATGAAACATGACTGTGGTTCCAGGAGTTGTACAAAAAGGTTAACCCAGGGCGCCTGGGTGGCTCTGTTGGTTAAGCGTCTGCCTTCAGCTCATGTCATGATCCTGGGGTTCTAGGATCGAGCCCTGTGTTGGGCTCCCTGCTCAGTGGGGAGTCTGCTTGTCCCTCTCCTCTGTCACTGCTCGTGTTCTCTGACTCACTCTCTCAAATAAATGAAATTTTTAAAAATATGTATATATAACCATTATACCATTATTATTCCTAACTAAGATGAATAATAATTCCTTAATGATCTAATACCCGGTCCATACTTCTATTTCCATGGTTTAAAATATGCCTTTCAGTGGTCTCCTTGAATTAGATCTAAACAGGGCATATATTTACTGCATTTGAAAGCCCATTATTTCTTGGTTTTAATACTAAAAACTTAACACTTGTAGGGGTGCCTGCCTGGCTCAGTCGGTAGAGCCTGTGACTTTTGATCTTGAGGTTGTGAGTTCAAGTCCCGTGTTAGGTATTGAGATTACTTTAAAAAAATCAAATCAAATTAGTTTTTTGCTAACACTTATATTGATGGTGGTCATTTCAAAGTGAAGTAATGTAATCCCATGTTGTAATGTCCATTATATGTGGATTGTTTGACTTCTGATAGTGACAAGCATACTTTGAAAGTAGGGAAGGCCAAGTCAATGACTTCAGGGTTTTTAAGAAGTGAGGCTTGTCTTGTTTATATAACTATATAAATATCGTTATATATTTATATATGTGTGTATATATATATATATATATATAACTATATCTTGTTTATAACTATTATATATAATAGTTATAATTCCAGAAGGAGAAAAAAAAGTGAGAACACTGACCCATAATAGTTATTTGTTAGAATTTAATATATAAAATAGCAATGACTGCTTGCTCTCGATGCCATTTATGCTGAGCCTTACAAAAATTAATGATAAATCTGTATTGTATCTATTAAGGCTTTTACTTTGAAATAATTTCAGATGTATAAAATAATTGTGAAAATAGTAGTGAACTTTTTTTTTTTCTCCGAACCGTTTGAGAATAAGTTGCCATGATGCCCTCTCATTTTGAGAACTTGATGGTGTATTTCTTATAAGCAAGGACGTTCCCCTTATGTGTTAGTCATTTAGTGCTGCTTAGCAAATCACCATAAAACTTAGCAGTCTGAAACTTCAAATGTGCATTATCTCCCACAGATTGTGAAGGTTGGGAATCTGGGAGCACCTTAGCTATGTGAGTTGGCTCAGGAGAATTCACGCAGCTGCAGTCAAGCTCTTAGCTGGGCCTATCAACAGTGAGGACTTGACAGAGGCTGGGGGACTTACTTCCAAGATGACTTACTTGTGTTACTTTGACAGGATGCCCTCAGATCCTCACCGTGTGGGCCTCTCCATAGACCACTTATTTATCCTCATCATAGAAGCTAACTCCTCCCAATGCAAGTGATCCAAGAGAGCAGTAGAGTTCGAGTATCTTCTGTGACCCAACTTTGAAGCTGGATAGTTGCTTCAGCTTTGTTCTGTTAGGAATGAGTCACTACGTTCAGACCACACTCAGGTGGAGGGAAATTAGCCTCCACCTCTTCAAAGGAAGAATATCAAAGAGTTAGTAGATATTTTTTAAACTTTCACTTTCTTGCAGAACCAGTATATAAACGTCAAAGACAGGAAATTAACACTAATTGCTACCATCTGATGAATTTAAGATCCTATTCAGGTTTCTCCAGTTGGTGCAATAATGCCGTTGTAGCAGAGGATAGTTGAGAATCATTTGCTGCATTTAGCTGTCATATCTCCTAAGTCTTCTTCAATCTGTAACAGTTTTTCTATCTTTCTTAGACTTTGATGACCTGGAAGCTTTTGCAAATGAGAGGCCACTTGTTTTATAGAATATCCCGCAATTTGAGTTTGTCTGGCTGAAATCTCAGGATTTGATTCAGTTCTGCATCTTTGACAGAAATATCATTAAAATGATGCTATGTTCTTCATGTTGCATCCTGCCAGGTGGTGCCTGATTTTAATTTGCCTCATTACCGATGATGTCGCTTTGATCATTTGGCTAACATGGTATCTGCCAGGTTTATCCACTGAAAAGTTGCTTTTTTAACCCCGCGTGTAATTAGTAAGTGTTTTAGGAGGAGGTACATTATTTACTGTCCTATCCTGGACACTTGCCTTGCTCAGTCCCCACCTAATGGCTTTAGGGCTGAATTGCCTGGAAAGGGGTAAGGGAAGAAGTATTTGAGAAGGTAGAATTTGCCGAATACCTAAGAAAGTTCTGTTAAACAGGATGTATTTAATTTAAGGAAGTTCTCATTGTATTTGCCTGGGACAGGAGCCATTGTGGTCCATGTAACAGAAAGAGTGTGGGGCCAAGAATTTTCAGTCAGCCGTGCCACACTGAGCTCCATCTCAGAGTCTTGTCTACCTACCTACCTACCTACCTACCTGGGAAGGTACTTTGTAAATCGTAAAGACCTTTGTAAAAGCTATAGCTAATCTACATTTTGTGCTTCCTCCAATAGAACTCAGGCTTTTAGTGTCATAAACAGTTTCAAACGCTTTTTCCTCACTGACGTCTTCATTGGATCTGTGATGTTTCTACATTGATAAAATCAAACCTACATCACCTGGAAATACTCTTCTATCTTCTGTCATTTTTTTTCTTCATTTTCAAGTCATAATATCCCCTCCTGTTGATTTAGATTGTCCCCTTATCTTACATAAAGTTTACATAAAGTAAAGTTTCAAACCATACACAAAGGTGAAAAGATGAATATAATGAATCTTTGTATACTTTTTACCCAGATTTAACAGTTATCGAGTTTTTGCCGTATTTGTTTTATCTGCTTATTTTTGTGACTCTCTTTTTCTGAATTTTTAAGAAGTAAATCTCACCCTGTACACTCTAAAAAAATACGCATTTCTAAAAGATAGGGGTGTTTTCTTTCTCTCACAACCACAATGCTCTTACCACACTTAATAGATCATTCCTTGCCATCATCTGAATTCAGTCCATAATCAGATTTCCTTGATTGTGTCAGATACCTGTTTTCCTCCCCCACCAAAATGCTTATTAGTTAAAAGAAAATAGTGACTTCATAGTGGAGAAGCCAGTGAGGCACTCCGCTAGTTAGGTGATCAAAGTGTAACACAGGCATTTTGACATCTTGTGTTCCCTGATACTGTCCACTGAGAGACACAGCATTATTGACCTCACTGATATTCCTGACGAGAAAGCATAACCTGTGCTTCAGCAGGAGGATACATCAGACAGACCTAACCGAGGGGCATTCTACAAAGGAAAGTGACCAGTACTCTTCAAAATGTCATGGTCATGAAAGACTTGAACTGTCCCAGATTGGAGGAAACTAAGGACACGCGACAACCAAATGAAACGTGGGATGTTGGATTAGAGCCTGGAACAGAAAAAGGATATTATTTGGATAATTGGCTTAATTTGAAGATGATCTATAGATTACTTAATAGCATTCTATCAATGCCAATTTTCTGGTTTTGGTAATTGTGTTACAGCCATAGATGGTGTTAATATTCGGGGAAGCTGAATGGAGGACATAAGAGGAATGTATACTATTCTTTAAAATCTAAAATTGTTTCAAAATCAAATATCAAGTCTATTAAAGGATGGCTTATTCAGGGGCACCTGGCAGGCTCAGTAGGTAGAGCATGCAACTTGATTCCAGAGTTGTGAGTTCAAGCCCCACATTGGGTGGAAAACTTCATTTAAAAAGAAAAAAAAAGATGGTTTGGGGCGCCTGGGTGGCTCAGTGGGTTAAGTTTCCACCTTCAGCTCAGGTCATGATCCCAGGGTCCTGGGATCGAGCCCCACATCGGGCTCTCTGCTCAGCAGGGAGCCTGTTCTCCCCCGCCCCCCCTGCCGCCCACTCTCTGCCTACCTTTCTGCCTACTTTAGATCTATTTCTCTCTGTCAAAAAAATAAATAAAATCTTTTTTTAAAAGTTTAAAAAAAAAAAAAAGATGGTTTCTACAAATCAGGCTCCAGGCACATTATACTTGGTTTGTTATATTTTAGGGAATAGATAGCATTATTAATTTTAACCTGTTAACTTAAGTATCGTTTGATAGAAACTAAATTACCTGACCACTTTCTTCCCATTTTTTTCCTCTTGCTTTCAGCCATATCTTACATTGAGATTTTGAAACTCCTGAACTAATCCTTCAGATTCCTGACCTGTTATTTCCAGTTTTTTACTTTGTTCTACTAAAGTGTAGGAGACTCTGGTTTGGGGGGCAGTTGTCTCCAAGTGCTTCCAATAAGTTACAGACCTTTGTTTTCATCTTCACACTGCAGCTCCCCAGCTGAAGATCTCCGATGACCGGCTCACTGTGATTGGAGAGAAGGGTTACTCCATGGTCCGGGCTTCTCACGGGGTTCGGAAAGGTGCCTGGTACTTTGAAATCACAGTGGACGAGATGCCTCCAGACACTGCTGCCAGACTGGGTTGGTCCCAGCCCTTAGGTAAGTGGGAGCTGCTGTGTGGGCATCGCAGCAGGCAGAGACGGATACACCATCTGCATGAGCTTTGTGACTTTTCAGCTTGATGGATGAGGGGCATAAAATTCAATTCCTGAACGATGGGGTGGTTTGCAATTTTGTAACAAAAAACAAAAAATAAAATGAGAAGGAGTACAATTTTTTCTTCTAGCAAACCGGGGTTGATTCGCAATCTTTTGACTTCCTGTTTGTCTTTATTGGGACAGGTAACCTTCAAGCTCCCTTAGGTTATGATAAATTTAGCTATTCATGGCGGAGCAAAAAAGGAACCAAGTTCCACCAGTCAATTGGCAAACACTACTCTTCTGGCTATGGACAGGGAGACGTCCTAGGATTCTATATCAGTCTTCCGGAAGACACAGAAACAGCCAAGTCACTTCCTGATACTTATAAAGATAAGGTGAGTTTGTCCTCCTGAGAGATTCCCGGGTTTGAAGACCTGTGGCTGCCACTGAACGCTGCAGCAGTGGCCTGAGTGTTTTTTGTAATACTGACATACCATTCCCATGTTTTTCTCACATTTTGTTACAAAAATGTTTAGACAGAGTTGAAAGAGTTTTAAAGTCCGTGTCCAAATACCCATCACCTAGATTCTGCCATTGACCTGTTATTTGTTCATTCCTCTACCCACCCATCTGTCCGTCCATCTTGTTTTAATGCACTTCAGAGAATGCTAGCCATCGATATACCGCACTCCTGCCCATGTATTTCAGGATACGTGTTGTTAGCTAGAGTTCAGCCTTTATTTAGTTTTTTCTTTTGATATAAGACTTACACAAAATGATGGGGTGCCTGGGTGGCTCAGTGGGTTAAGCCGCTGCCTTCGGCTCGGGTCATGATCTCAGGGTCCTGGGATCGAGTCCCGCATCGGGCTCTCTGCTCGGCGGGGAGCCTGCTTCCCTCTCTCTCTCTCTCTCTGCCTGCCTCTCTGTCTACTTGTGATCTCTCTCTGTCAAATCAATAAATAAAAAAATCTTAAAAAAAAAAAAAAAGACTTACACAAAATGAAATGTACAAAAATAAGTGTATATTCACTGAGTTTTGAGTTTGGCCTAAAGGAGACCTTAGAATCTTACCACCCCAGGAAGTTCTCATGCTTTTTTCCAATCAGTCCCAACTCCCATCCCTATAGAGCCAACCACTGTCTTGAAATACTTATTCCCTGACATAATTTTATTCTGTTAGTTTTTTTTTTTTTTTTAAGATTTTATTTATTTATTTGACAGATCAGAAGTAGGCAGAGAGGCAGGCAGAGAGAGAGGAGGAAGCAGGCTCCCTGCCAAGCAGAGAGCCCGATATGGGACCCTGAGAACATGACCTGAGCCAAAGGCAGAGGCTTAACCCACTGAGCCACCCAGGCACCCCTATTCCATTAGTTTTGTTTGTTCTTAAACTTAAGTAAATGGAGGGGCGCCTGGGTGGCTCAGTGGTTAAGCCTCTGCCTTCAGCTCGGGTCATGGTCTCAGGGTCCTGGGATCAAGCCCTGAATCGGGCTCTCTACTCAGCAGGGAGCCTGCTTCCCTTCCTCTCTCTCTCTGCCTGCCTCTCTGCCTACTTGTGATCTCTGTCTGTCAAATAAATAAATAAAATCTTTAAAAAAAAAAAAAAAACTTAAGTAAATGGAACCATGCGCTATGTCGTCTTTTGTATCTGGCTTTTATTGTTTGACGTAATGCTTTTGAGATTCTTTAATGTTTTTGCATGTATCCATAGCTTGTTTCCTTTAATCAAGGGTAGTATTCCATTGTACGAATACACCACAGTGTGTTTATCCATTTTCCTGTTTTTTTAAAAATATTTTTAAATTCTAGTGTAAGAAACATACAGTGTTACATTTGTTTCAAGTGTATGATAGGGTTATTCAGCAATTCCTTATATTACTCGGTGTTCATCATGATAAGTGTACTTATAATCCCCTTCACATATTTTACACTTCCCCCCACCCACCTCCCCTATGGTAACTACCATTTTGTTCTCTACCATTGAGTCTGGTTTTTTGTCTTTTCTTTGTTGTGTTTCTTAAATTCCACATATGAGGGAAATCGTATGATATTTGTCTTTTTCTGACTTATTTCACTTAGCATTATGCTCTCTAGCTCCATCCATGTAAATGGCAATGGCTGAGTAATGTCCCACTGTGTATACACCATATCTTCTTTATCCATTCATTCATCTGTAGATGGAGACTTGGGTTACTTCCATAATTTGGCTATTATAAATAATGTAAATAAACATAGGGATGCATATATCTTTTTGAATTAGTGTTTTTTATTCTTTGGGTAAATGCCCAGTAATGGAATTACTAGATCAGATTATTCCATTTCCCTATGGATGGAGACTTGGGCTATTTCAAGTTTGGGGCTATTACGAATAAAGGTGATGTGAACTTCCTTGTACAAATGTTTTTCTGTTTTTGTTTTTTTAAAGATTTTATTTATTTATTTGACAGAGACACAGGGAGAGAGGAACACAAGCAGGGGGAGTGGGAGAGGGAGAAGTAGGCTTCCTGCTGAGCAGGGAGCCTGATGCAGGGCTCGATCCCAGGACCCTGGAATCATGACCTGAGCCAAAGGCAGACACTTAATGACTGAGCCACCCAGGCGCCCCTACAAATGCTTTTGTAAATGTGTTATTGTTTCTTTTGGGTCAGCACCTAGAATTGCAATCACTGTGTCATAAGGTAGTTACATATTTAGTTTTAGAAGCAATTGCTGGACTCTTTTCACTCCCAGCTACAATGTATAATTGTAGTTGCTTCACATCCTTGTCAGCATTTTTGTTGTCTGTCAGCTTAATTCTAGCCGTTTTGATGGGTGCATAGTAGGGTCCCCATGTGGTTTAAATTAGCATTTCTTTGATGACTAATGATATTCCGTAGGTTTTCATGTGCCGATTAGCCATTCATCTATTTTCTTTTGCAACATTTCTCTTCAAATCTTTCACCTTTAAAAAAAAAAAATATATATATATATATATATATATATATATATATATATATATATATCAGGTTATCCTTTTATTGAGTTATAGAGGGTTTTTTAATATATATATATTGGATTACAGTTCTTGGTTAGAAGTGGCTTTTTTTTTTTTTTAATTTTTAAGGTTTTATTTGAGAAAGAAGATAGAGAGTACAAGCTAGGGAAGAAAGGGAGAAGCAGGCTCCCTGCTCAGGTCTCAATCCCAGGACCCTGACTTGAGCCAGAAGTAGATGTTTAACCAGCTGAGCCACCCAGGCACCCCTAGAAGTGGCTTTTTAAAAAATATTTTTGGGGGCACTTGGGTGGCCCAGTTGGTTAAGCATCCAACTCTTAATCTCAGCCCAGGTCTTGATCTCAGGATTGTGAGTTCAAGCCATATATGCAGGGCGTGAAGCCTACTTAAAAAGTACATTTTTTTTCCTCCTAGTCTGTGACTAATTTATTTCTTAAAGGTGTCTTCTGATGAAATGAAATTTCTAATTTTTATGAAATCAAATTTTTCTTTTACAGTTATATTGCTTTCTATGAGTTAATAATTCTTTGCTTACCCTCCACTCAAGAAGATACTCTTCCATGTTTTCCTTTGAAAACATGGTTTAAGCTTTTGCTATTAGGTTTCTGATCCACCTTGAATTACTTTTTGTGTATGGTGTAAAGTAGGGATCAAAGTTAAATTTTTCTTCCGTACAGATGGGTGTCCAATTATTCTAGCACCCGTTTCTGAAAATTTTACCCTCATTTCTTTGGTGCCGTTTGTGAAAATCAGATGATTTTATAAGTAGAAAGTAGAGTTTATTTTGGGGCTCTCTGTTCCATTGATCTCTTTGTTCATTTTTATGCCATACCACACTGTCTTGATTATTGCAGCTTTAGAGTAAATTTTTAATTTGGGTTATTATCAGTCCTCTTGCTTCTTTTTGTTTTTGTCTGGGGTGGGTTTGTGTATGTGTGTGTGTGTGTTTAATTTTGAAGATACTAGTATATGCCTAGACTTTCTAGAAGGATATACAAGGACACTGAAACAGAGATTGCTTTTGGCAAAGGGAAACTTGAGTGTTGAGGGACATGGTTAGAGAGAGATACTCTTCATTTTACGTTCTGGTAGATCTCTTGAATTTTTTTTTTCTTATTGTGTTTAATGTATGTATGTGCTAAGAGATTCAAATTAAAAAAAAATTAATATCATCTATTTCCCTGGGAGTGAATAGTTGGGCTCTTGGGAACCGGCAGAGAATGGATGACCCAGAGACCACCTATAGGAGAAGCAGGTTGGGAGCTCGGATGAAAGGAAGTAGCCCTTGAAAAATGTTTTTATAGAATAGGAGATTTTAGGCTCAGTAAACTTATTTCTTTCACTGAGATTATTGAGGGGAAGAAACTATGAATTAGTTTTAGTTTAATGGGTATTTTTATTGTGGCGAAAGTGTGTATATGTATGTTTCCTCATAAATCTTAGTAAAGACCTTTTTTGAAATGTTTAACAACTATGTGCTATCTGGTACTTCTAAGAACAACATAGTTGTTTAAAATCTAGCAAAGCTAACCCTACATAGATTTTTAATTTCTGTTGCAGAACATAAGGACTCTGTGCTATTTGTGTGACTCTGGCTTTTTTTTTTTTAATTTCATAATGATGTAGCTGATGCTTCAATGTTCCTTTTTTTCCCCTTTCTTTCTTGGTTTTCAAGGCTTTGATAAAGTTCAAGAGTTATTTGTATTTTGAGGAAAAAGACTTTGTGGATAAAGCAGAGAAGAGCTTAAAGCAGACTCCCCATAGTGAGGTGAGTCATGGTCATAAAAATGTGAGAACTAGAAGACTTTGAAGATTGGGACCAACTTCCTAATTATAAAAGTGAGGAAAATGAGGCCCAAAAGGGCAGCAGAGTGCGCTCCCTCTCCTGCCTGCTGTGTTTATGCTCTTCCTGTGGTACCATGCTGCTGCTCTCATAGGCCTCATCAGGGTTCTTTTAGGGACAGTCTACAGAGAAAGGGGTAGAAACAGCAGCCTACTGAGGAAATCTACAAGCGATTGAGGAAGCAAGTCGGAGATATTTATTCTTCTCAGAGGAAGGATCAAGTACAGAGGGAGGAACACCGGAATAGGAGAGGATGTTGCTGTGTGACCCAGAGGCGGAGGAGCTGTCATGGTTCATTCAGGGTCCTCTAGAACTTTCCCTACTTCCTGTTCCAAGGTTGATGGAAACACGTCTGCCCAAAGTCCTAGCGTAAATAAAGGCAGGCATGACTGGACCAGCCATGGGGGACAAAAATAGGAAAAGGGCAGAAGAAAAGTTTGAATGGGAGACATTTTTCCATAAAAATGCTGCGAAACATCCTGGGATAGAAGGGAATGTAGGAGAAAATAAAGTAGGGCTCCAGTTGTCTTTAGGGAGAAAATGTAAAGGGAAACAGTTAATAGATCTAAGGATAATACAACCAGATAATCCAGCTTGGGAGACTATCACTCTTGCTGGGAAGAACAGGCAGAGAAAGTTACTTCAGAAAAAGCCTTTTCTGAAGTCCATAGACAGTGGTTGAGAGAGAATATTTAGAATAATTTCAAAAGCAAAAGGACAAAGAAAATGAGGATTCTGAAACTCAGAAGATCTGAAGAGATTTTCAAAGGAGAAATACAGAAGCGAGAGGGAAGGGGGCAAATGAATAAGCTCACAAGGGTATGGTTCCAAGGAATTGGTGGAAGACAAAATTCATTTTTATAAATACAGTGTAACGAATAATAGAGAGTCGAATAGTTTGGTATAAGTAGTAGTTTAGTATAAGTATAGGAATTCAGAAAGCAAATAAACCTGAAGACCAACTAGATTAGTGCATGTGAATATGCTCTGAAAAACCTGGAAGTCCTCTATAAGCGTAAGACACTGTTGTTGCTGCGCAAGGTACATGCTGTTCTTGGAAGACATTATTAGCAGCATGGTGACCGCACTGCTAAAAGGTTCTCCAAGTAAGTTCTTTTTCAGTTTGTTTGTTCCGTTGTTAAATTCTGAAGTAAAACCACGGTTTTTGTTTCAGATAATATTTTATAAAAACGGTGTCAATCAAGGTGTGGCCTACAAAGATATTTTTGAGGGGGTTTATTTTCCGGCCATCTCACTGTATAAGAGTTGCACGGTATGTATCCTCTGTTCATCCTGTGAACACTACTTGAAATAGGTGAATGGTTGTGTTGGAAGAGCCATTGATAGGAGTTCCAGAAAGAAGTCTAAATGAGAAGCCTGAATGAGATGGAAATACATTCCTGCTGTGACGGTTCCAAAAACAGTTGGGTGTCATAGGAAGTATTTGCTTGGATAGATACAAGATTGTGCAGTTAGTGTGCCCCATACTTTTCTTTTGAATGTACTGTGTGGCGAATGTTACTGTTCAGTGTAAGGCATATGCAGTATATACATAAATCCAGTCAGCTTGGTGTTACAGGTCTGGGTGACCCACCACCATTGGCTAGTAACTGTTGGTTACTTCATACACTGTGCTGTTGGTGTTTTGTTTTGTTTTGTTTTGTTTTGTTTTTAATATGATCCAGTATGAAGGGGACTCTCATCAGATCCTTTTAGGTTTTTGTGGTTAAGTGGTTTGAAAAGGTAGTATCTGGAAGTTTCCATGTATTTTTAGTCTCTCAGTAACCACCATTTAAGTAGAATAAGGAAATCTTTAGGTTATAAACAGAACTCAACAAAAGTCTATTTTAGTTATCTAATTTTCGATGCACATTAGGGTGTTGACCACTTTTAGCAATGGTAATGTTTCATTTGTTCCACTACACCCTGAATGTCATAGCTACATTTAAAAAGTTCCTGTGTCACGTTAAACTTTTTCACTCTTTTCTTCTGTGTTTTCATGTCTGTTTGAATTGAACTGTCACAGGTTTCCATTAACTTTGGACCATGCTTCAAGTATCCTCCAAAGGATCTCACTTACCGCCCTGTGAGTAACAGTCACGACACAAGCTCAGTATCTCTGTTACTTCTCGTTGTCACTGTTCTCATCACCTCATTTCTGTTTCTTGTTCTTCCCACAGATGAGTGACATGGGCTGGGGCGCTGTGGTAGAACATACTCTGGCTGATGTCTTATATCATGTGGAAACAGAGGTGGATGGGAGGCGCAGTCCGCCATGGGAACCCTGACCAGGTCCCTCTTTCTTTGCAGCTGTGGACTTTCTGGGGAATAAATTGGGGAGGGGGGGGAATCTGTTTTTTTGTTTTTTTAACTATTGCAAACATTCTCCCAAAGATACCGCAGCACAGAGCGTCTCCCATTAGCAAGTGAAAAGTGGGGGTGAGACTGGCAGAGACTGCCTGCCCTGCAACACTTTGCCCACTTCTGGTGACTGCTTCTATTTTGTGTGCCATATGCCAGCAGCTGCTGACCCTCGGATCCCATGCGCTCCCTGTGAAACTGGTGCTGTACAATGTATCCCACCAACTGGGACTTGATACCTTGCTGTATTTTCTACCGAATGAATAATCTTGTCCAAGTACCTAACTTATTTAAAGACATTTCTTTTTCTTTTTTTTTTTTTTTTTTTTTGTGATGTTGAGTTCATCCTCTCTGATTTCCAAGGAAGTAATTGGCTTGAATCTGAGAACACCTGAAATCTGTGGCTCTACATTCCAGATCTAAAAGGTCTTTCCTTTTGATGTGGGTTTTTATTCATTTTGAAATATTTTTGAACACTGGGGTCTCTGCAACTACTAGGTCTGTAGAACTGTAATTGTGGAAAAAAAAAAAAACTTGCTTGCAGCTTTAACGATTAGAAATTCTTCCCAAATAAAACTGGTCTTCAAGTGTGTGTGGCACTTTGCTTCCCTTTCACATTGGATTCCTCTTGGGACTGGGGTAGCAAGGTAGGCAGTCTGAGGAACGGTAGTCAGAACTGGGAAGACAGGCACATTTCTGACTCGATCCCAAGCCCTCTTCTTCCAGTCTTTCCAGCCAACCCAACTATGGTCTTTATCCTGTGAAATCGGAATCTCAAAGAGTTTAAAAGGGTTAATGGGGGGCTCCTGGGTGGCTCAGTGGGTTAAGCCGCTGCCTTTGGCTCAGGTCATGATCTCGGGGTCCTGGAATCGAGTCCCGCATCGGGTTCTCTGCCTACAGGGAGCCTGCTTCCCTCTCTCTCTCTCTGCCTGCCTCTCTGCCTACTTGTGATCTCTACCTGTCGAATAAATAAAAATCTTAAAAAATAATAATAAAATAAAAATAAAAGGGTTAATGGGGGAATGCCTGGGTGGCTCAGTGACTTAAGTGGCTGGCTCTTGATTTCAGCTCATGATCTCAGGGTCCCAGGATTGAGCCCCGCATCGGGCTCTGTGCTCAGTGGGGAGTCAGCTTGGGATATTCTCTCTCTCTCTCTCTCTCTCTCTATCAAATAAATAAATAAAATGTTGAAAGAAAGGAAGGGGAAGGGGGAAGAAAGAAAGAAATTTCCCAAATCTCAAGTGACTATTGGTGTCTTAACACAGTAGCTTTGAGCAATGTCCACAAAAGCCAAACTGGGTTTGGCTAAGTTTGGCAACGAGATGCCCTTCAGCAGAAGAAAGGATAAAAATTTGGTCCATATATACAATGGAATATTACTCAGCCATTAGAAAGGATGAATCCCCAACTTTTCCATTAACATGGTTGGGGCTGGAGGAGATTATGCTAAGAGAAAGTCAATTATCATATGGTTTCACTTATTTGTGGAACATAAGGAATAGCAAGAAGGATATTAGAAGATGGAAGGGAAAAATGAAGGGGGGGATATTGGCGTGGGAGGCAAACCATGAGAGACTATGGACTCCAAGAAATGGGATTTTCAAGGGGAGGGGGTGGAGGATGGGTTAGCCCGGTGATAGGTATTAAGGAGGGCATGGGTTGCATGGAGCACTGGGTGTTATGCACAAACAACGAATCATGGAACACTACATCAAAAATTAATATATGGTACTGTATGGTGACATAATGATTAGAAACCAAAAAAAACACAATAGCTTTGACTAATATATTTGTCTCCTAACGAATCATCCAGGCTGTTTTGGCCATTTTGCATTTTTTCACAGAAGACCTAACAGAGTCAGTATGATCATAGGCTAAAGACTCAGTCTGTCACCACTGGACACCTACCTATTCATTCCTGGCTGGTCTTAAAGGGCAGACTTGGTTATAAAGCTGGATAATCAGAGTTTGAAGAACTCAGAGAATGAGGGTAGTGTTCTTTTTTTTTTCTTAATCACTTTTTATTAACATAAAATGTATTAGTTGCCCCTGGGGTACAGGTCTGTGAATCGTCAGGCTTACATAATTCACAGCACTCACCATAGCACATACCCTCCCCAATGTCCATCACCCAGCCACCCTATTCCTAGCCCCCACCCCCACCTCCCAGCAACCCTCAGTTTGTTTTGTGAGATTGAGAGTCTCTTACAGGTCTGTCTCCCTCTCGAGCCCATCTTGTTTCGTTTTTCCCTCCCTACCCTCCACAGCCCCCAACCCTGCCTCTCAAATTCCTCATATCAGAGATCCTATGAAAAATGTCTTTCTCTGACTTATTTCACTCAGCATAATACCCTCTAGTTTCATCCATATCATTGCAAATGGCAAGATTTCATTTTTTTTTTAAAGATTTTATTTATTTGAAACAGATCACAAGTATGCAGAGAGGCAGGCATAGAGAGAGAGAGGAGAAAGCAGGCTCCCCGCCGAGCAGAGAGCCCGATGCGGGCCTCCATCCCAGGACCCTGAGATCATGACCTGAGCCGAAGGCAGAGGCTTAACCCACTGAGCCACCCAGGCGCCCGATTTCATTTCTTTTGATGGCTGCATAATACTCCATTGTATATATATACCATCTCTTCTTTATCCATTTATTTGTTGATGGACATCTAGGTTCTTTCCATAGTTTGGCTGTTGTGGACATTGCTGCTATGAGGTGCTGCTATAAGGTGCATGTGCCCCTTCAGAGCACTACATTTGTATCTTTAGAGTAACTACCCAGTAGTGTGATTCCTGGGTTGTATTGTAGCTCTAGTTTTCAACTGAGGGTAGTGTTCATTAGAGGAAGCTGGAGGTAAATTCTTTGTAATATAAATTACCACATGTTACTTGCACACCCACTCTCCATTTAAATGATAAAATTTTTGTACATTGGATTTTCATAAATCAGAGGTTGCAGAAGTAATGATTTTGCCCGTTTGTATTTAAAAGTACGTGTGTTTCGAGGTTCGTTTGGAGAGCTCATAGAATCCCCACTCTTCATGGAGACCTCTAAGCAGATCATCACTGACAACTTAATTTTATTCCAATGTAAAATTAAACAAGTGGGAAAATATCTCCCAGTCCCCTCAAAGACACCGTTGCTTGGTTTGAAGAAGGCAAATCATAATCAAGCTCAAAACTTCACTGGTATGTGGTAAAATGCCACTGTTTTGCTTTCAGCCTGTCCTTTTCTGAAACCAGAGTGTATATTGCTTCAGACATCTTTAAACAATCATTTTCTCTTAGCTGGGAGTGGATGATAATTCTGTTCTAGAAATACTTCTACAACTATGCCCCCTCATTCTGAAGCTCCCAGATAGATAAACAATAATTGTGTGTGTGAGTTTTATTTTTATTTATTTGACAGAGAGAGTGAGAGCAGGAACACAAGCAGAGGGAGAAGCAGGCTTCCCGCGGAGCGGGGGGCCCGATGTGGGACTTGATCCCAGGACCCTGGGAACATGACCTGAGCCAAAGGTAGACGCTTAACTGACTGAGCCACCCAGGCGCCCCAACAATAATGTGATCTATGCTAAAAATAGATCACTCTAGGAAATGATCAGAATAAATAATAAAAAAATGCTTTTCTGAGCTGTAAAATTTTAATAGCTCAATAAATATCAGCACTCCCACTCCTGCTAAACTCTTTAATAAATAAGCTAGGGCTCTATTTCCAAATGCTTTAAATCATCAATGCTATTAGAACCAGAATGGAAAAGCTTCAAGTGGTAAGGGTTGGTTTTGCACCTTCCCTACACACGTTAGCAAAATAATCCCATCCCAGTTTATATTTTTAAAGCATAAGTTCTCTGAATCTTGGAAGGGGAATTGGCTATCACCATAGCACCTCTTTTCAGCCATCTCCTCCGGAAATTGTAAAACACTGACCTGTTAATAGCAGAAAGTGGCAGCACTGAAACAGGCTGGAAGCTGATATAATTAGCTCTGAACTAAAGATTCAGTTCCCTTTTTAGATCTCAACATTCTCTTCAGGGAAAATAATAAGATTTGTTTCTAGTCAACTTCGTCATTCATTCTCTCATATTTGGTCCTGCCCTGTCGTTTTGTTTTGTTTTTTTAAGATTTTATTTATTTATGACAGAGAGATGGAGAGCACAGGTAGGCAGAGCAGCAGGCAGAGGAAGAAGCAGGCTCCCTGCTGAGCAGGGAGCCCGATGTGGGACTCCATCCCAGGACCCTGGGATCATGACCTGAGCCAAAGACAGACGCTTAACTGACTGAGCCACCCAGGTGTCCCTCTGTCCTTCCTTCTTCCTATGCCCCTCCCCCCGACTTGTGCTCTCTCTGTCTCTCTTTCAAATAAATAAATAACATCTTAAAAAAAAAAAAAAAAAAACCTTTGTCCAGGACTCCTTTATCAAAAAGTTGCAGTTTACTAGAATGATTTTTTTAAAGAGAATTTTTAAACAAATAGGTACAGACTGAAGTTTTTGTGTCAGTTATGATTGTTTATTCTGACTGGTGCTCATGGAAGAAGTAGGAGAATGGGATTAATTAGTTTTCTGCATTTTTTCAATCAAGAAAACTTAGACTACATTTCTCAAAGGCACCTGCTGTGGGGAATTGCTCTTCTTTGGTGCTGCTTGCTACTTATTTGGTAGAGGAGCAGAGGGTTGCTGGAGTCCCTTTTGTCAAACCCTGCTGCATCCACACACATGGCCTATGAGGAATGGAGCTCATGAGCCCATAAAACATAAGGTCCCAGTCCTTGTGTTTAGCACCCTCACACCCTGTATCAGTACCATTTTAAAGATGTTTTTAAATAGAAGTGTAAGGGCCCAGAAAGAAGTCTTACAAATATTTGGGGTCCCTTAACCTTCATTTCGCAGCTAATCACCGAATGAAGTTAGAAAGCTCTTTCTCTTAAAAGCCATGTCCCCATTTTCTTGGTTGTAAAATTTGACCAGAGTCCCAGTATCCTACTGTAAATACACTCCCACCCCATCCCACAGTCCCAGATGAAGATCTTAGACAGACTTGTAGGCTTCTAGCAGAGATCTTCCTGACGAGCATGCAAGCCAGTGCAGCTAGGGACAGTTGGAAGAAGCAGGCTGGTCCTTAACACCTGGCTTCAGGAGCAGGGCTGGACTCCAGGTGCTTGCGCAGGTGGTTGGCAAAATCCACCTGAGTCTGTGATAAGACCTGGTTGATGATGGTCTTTGGCAGCCATCCCTAGAGAAGAAGAAGAATTAGGCCATCTCATGGGTAATGTTCCACTGTAGAAACCTCTGTACCCTATCACAAACATGAGTTGCTTAGGGCTT